TCAGTTTACAAAGGTATAATGGGCAAACACCAACAGTTAGGGTCAAACAGAGCTCTTCTTAATTTCTATTATGCTTATCGGAGAAGAAATGATTAATGATTATGCAATTGTATGGCGAGCAGGCAACGACAGAAACCAGGAAAAACACAAGAAGTTGCCATCGGATGGTTCAAGTGATCTTGAATTTCCATTTATAAGATTTGAGGAAATTGCCCTAGCAACACACAACTTCTCCGAAACATGTATGATTGGACATGGAGGCTTTGGCAAAGTTTATAAGGTAATTATTGAACACTAGTTTCCTCTTATTCAGTCTAATCAGTAACCTAACTGATATATTCATATGAAGAATGCAACTCATTGTTATTGCTTAATATTATACAGGGAACAGTAGGTGGTCAAGAAATTGCTGTCAAAAGGCTAAGTAGGGATTCTCAACAAGGAGCAAATGAATTCAGGAATGAAGTAATTCTTATTGCCAAATTGCAACACAAAAATTTGGTTCGACTTCTTGGATGTTGTGACAAGGGAGATGAAAAGTTATTGATCTATGAGTATTTGCCTAATAAAAGCTTCCCTTTTTGGTATATTCTAGCAACACACCAATTTTCATGTAACAACTCAACATATTTTTCTTACATTTGCTTTTGTCTTAAGATGATTCAAGAAAACATTTGTTGGATTGGGGGACACGGTTAAATATAATTAAAGGTATCGCAAGGGGGCTTCTTTATCTTCATGAAGATTCAAGACTGACCATAATTCACAGAGATCTCAAAGCAGGGAACGTTTTGCTAGATGCAGAGATGAAACCTAAAATAGCAGATTTTGGTATGGCAAGGATCTTCGGTGATAACCAGGAAAATGCGAACACCCAACGCGTCGTCGGAACATTGTAAGTAACTGTTTGAACCAATAGCTCATATTACCCAATGATTATGTTCAATTCCCATTTGTGTAACTATTGCATATGTCAATAATCAAGCAGTGGCTACATGGCCCCTGAGTATGCAATGCAAGGCATCATCTCTATCAAATCCGACATCTATAGTTTTGGCGTGTTACTACTGGAGATTGTAACTGGTATGAAGAGAAGCTCCACTAGTCACGCCATGGGCTTTCCAAGCCTCATAATCTACGTGAGTATATACATGCTTTTGCCGAAGTTCTCAATAAAGAAAATAGTTTTGTAATCCGAGATGTTTTTGTTTGTTTCAGTCGTGGAATATGTGGAAAGATGGGAAGGCAGAGGAATTGGCTGATTCATCTATTATAGATACGTGCTTACTAGATGAGGTGTTGCTTTGCATTCATCTAGCACTCTTGTGTGTCCAAGAAAACCCAAAAGACAGACCACACATGTCATCAGTTGTGTTCACCCTAGAGAAGGAAGCACTACACTCCCAACTCCCAGTCGGCCGGCATACTTTGTGGGACAGAGCACTGAATTGGACCAACTCACAAACAATATTCAGAATTCCGTGAATACTTTAACTCTTACTGGTATAGAGGGTCGATGAAATAGTTCATTACTTTTATATGTGTTGGACATTGTGTAAAGAAAGGCTTGTCCACGGGTGGTCGTTGTTTGTAGCTTAGTGGTGGAGGGAAGTTGTTTGATCCCATCTACACGGGCTTGATCCATAAAGTTTTTGTTCTACTGAATGATTCTTGTTCGTGCCCATGAAATATGTTCATAATAGAGGATGGCCGAGTGTTAGTGTGCATGAAGTTTTTCTTTTTTCACGAACTTGTGATGGACGCGGAGGGCTGGTACTCTGGCACTCCAGAGGCCATTGTCACCGTGCAGTACACCAGCGCCGTGCCTGTCGGTCTCGTCGTCGACGCGTTTGCCATGGTTGGCGGTAACTCCATCCAGTTCGCCACCAGGCATCGGTGCTGGCCGATCACTTCTCGTTTCCAGGACACTGCTTTCCCCCGCTAACACTGGCGTTTCGTTCTCGTGCAGGGGCTGCTACGTGGTCGCGGTGGAGATCAATCCCCGGAAGGTGGATCTGGTGAAGCACAATGCCAGAATCTACGGCGTGGAGCATTTGATCGAGTTCGTCGTCGGCGATTTCTTCCACCTCGCGCCTTACTTGAAGGTATACTCGTTCATTTTTAGGATGAACAAGACCACATTGAGTAGGTCAGTTAAATTTGATAAATGGACATGCCTTGACCTTGCCTATTGGGGGAAATCCTGAAATGGTATGAAACCAGCCAAACCAATGTATGCTTCCAACTATGATATGGCATGCTCAAGGTATGCATAGTTATAAAAACACACAACCCATCTGTAAGACTGTAACTGTTAATTTTACCAACTCTTTTTGCGCAATTAAGCTATGAGGCGCACCAGGATTCTACCTGCATGGATTACAGAACTCGAGAACACTTTGTATGTCCAGTATATCGGAATCTGTAGAAAGCCATTTTGATTTCTAAAGAAAAATCTACAATTATTGGTAGTGTGGTACTTTTAAATTTAATCTACTCCCTCCGTCCGGTGAAGAGTGTACATTTGGTTTAAAATTTGTCCACAAAATAGTGTATTTCTATCTCCCCAACGCAGTTTAAAGTAGAAAAAAAATGTTTCTCTCTCATCACACGGTAATCAAGACCAATAACATTCTACATATGGTCTCCTTTAATTTATACATGCACTTAGCTCATTGGGGGTTGGGTAATTAAAGAGGAGAGAGATGGTGGCTTGCACCTTTCCAATGCATTTTTTTACTCCACTCCATAATTTGTCCTAAAATTTCTATATGTATACTTTTCTCTGGACGGAGGGAGTATTAGCACTACAACTGCCCAAGTGACCTTGTTTTTTGAACTACTATTATTACTACCAGTACTCCTTCACCAGCCTATTTTTTGCGATAAACTCCTTCACCAGCCTGACATTGCTGACAGGAGTTCCAACAAAACTAGGCATGTCCTCACACATTTAGTGATGTACTCCCTCCATTCCAAATTATAAGGTGTTCTAACTTTTTTCTGAATCGGATATACATAGACGCGTTTTAGTGTGTTTGTTCACTCATTTCAGTTCGTATGTAGTCTATATTGAAATATCCAAAATCATCTTATAATTTGGAACGGAGGTAGCAGATTACTCCACCTTTAAAAAATTTGATTTGATGCCCGATATAATCTGAAAACAATGCAAATATAAACTTTGGATTCCTTGTCATGTCAACACCATTAGTTAAAAAGAGAGTAGTACAGTCAGAATGTTTAGTTGAAAGTACCTCATTTTGGGACTACTGATCTGCCTATTCGGCTATTAATACTCAGCATTGTTGTCAGTCCATCTGCAAATAAACCAAAAAACATTGTATACCTAGGGTCTCTCTGCCCCAGGCCCTGGGCTGTATAGTAACGCCTATAAGGCTATTGATCTCCATACAGTAAAATATTGACCTGGCCCTTTAATATGCCCACTATCCAGTCTACCCATTTTTAATGAACGCCTTTATCAAGTAACACTGCTCAAGGTATTCCGAATTAAACCTGTCACTTGCCTTCTTGAAGTCTAATTTCAAGATGTTACCATCCTCTTTAGTATGATGAGAGTGACATAAAACGTCATGGGATAACAGACCATCCGGGGTGAACTAGCAAGATTGAGTGATAGTTTCAATTTTCATATTGTTGAGTAGCCATTTAGTGATATATGTTTGCTGATTGCTGATACTATACCAGGCGGATTTGGTGTTCCTTTCACCCCCATGGGGAGGGCCATCATACAATAAGACTCCAATGTATACCCTCGATATGCTGCTGCCAAAAGACGGTATGCAACTACTCACTGTATTCCAAATTGTCCTTACCCCCGGCTGATGAAGTAGAATACAAAACTCATACTGATGGAGTGCTTGGCAGTCCTGTTGTCATGGAGGCTTGCACATTCCAAGTGAGACTGTACTGATGCATCACTCTTGTACATATCTGGCACTTATGTTTTTACAAGGAATTAGTCTTGTAGATGTGAAGTTTCGGTTTGCATAGATGGCCAGATGGGTATAGCGCACTCATACATACCAACTGAATTTTGATTGGGACCATCTGTGTAGACTCTAATTGTTTTCCCCAAAGATCAGTTTAGGAAAATTTCCTGGTTCCTATCAGAATCGCTTGAGCCAGGGTGCTGGGACATCGTCAGTTCATGAGCCTTGAAGCAAATAAACAGCGAAAGTGAACCAAAATCTCGAAAGTCCTCTCATCGAGCCTTTTTCTAGCCATTGCTGGAGGTTATGGGCTTATGGCAGCGCCCAGGAACAAACCGACAATGGCTGGAGAAGTTTGATAAAGTGTGGCTGCTGGTTCTGATACCTCCAGTGCACCTCACTCTGCAGAACAGATGTTGCATGTTATAAGGGTAACGGTAGAACTCAAAACTAGGAGAGCTGAATTAACTGAAAAAAGCCAGAAGGGGAGCATGGATCCAAAGTTCTAGAGGGTAGATAGGTGAATTGCTCTTCTCTAGATATTACAAACTTTCTGTAACGGAGGGGTTGGATGTGATTTCATAAGGTACACATCATATTTCCCAGTTCAAAGTTACACGTAATGGTAGTTGAGGCTGGCTATTTCCCAGTTCAAAGTACACGTAATGGTAGTAGAATGGAAACACATTATCCTTGATTTTTAATATCTGCGTTTAGATCAGGCCAATCGTAATGAATAATATCCTAAACGAACAGAATGAAGGTGGACTGATGTAGACAGCCGGAATGTCAACCCTGAGACTAGCCTACTATAATTGTAATGTTGCTTGTCTGGCCAAGGAGTCTTGTAAGACCACCAGAATCACATTTCGTGCCTGCACTTCAATTCTTCTGGCAGCATCGTCGAATGGATTGGTCAGCTCTCACCTGCTCCATCGCCGTCCTGATCATTCTGTTCCTGCCGCTGCGTGCGCCCGGCGACCGGCTTGTCTCCAGCAAGCCGCTCTCCCTCGGCACCACCATCGTCTCGGATGGCGGTGACTTCGCATTTGGCTTCTTCCCCTCTTCCGGCTCAACGCCGTCCAACCTGTACATCGACATCTGGTACAACGGCATCTCCGAGCTCACCGTGCTGTGGGTCGCTAACCGGGAAACCCCGGTCAGGAACACTACCTCCTCCGCGCCCACGCTCTCCCTCACCAACACCTCCAATCTTGTTCTCTCTGATGGTGATGGTAGTCGTGTTGTTTGGACGACTGGCGTGGCTGCTGCCTCGAGCTCCTATTCATCAGAGGCAGTGCTTCTGAAGACCGGTAACCTCATCATCCCGTCATCCAACGGCACCACGGTATGGCAGAGCTTCGACCACCCAACTGACACGTTCCTACCTGGCATGAAGATGCGAATCAGGTACAGGACATGTGCGGGTGGGCGCCTGGTATCCTGGAAAGGCTCCGGAGACCCCTCGCCAGGGAGCTTCTCCTATGGCTGCAACCCAGCCACCATTATCCAGATGTTCCTCTGGGACGGGTCACGCCCGGTAATACCGCACCACCCCATGGACGGGGTACCAGGTCAAGAATGAGTACCAATACCTGATGACCAACACCAGCGCCATCATGATATACCTTAGTGTCGTCAATAATGACGAGGAGACCTACGCAATATTTAGCGTCTCGGACGTTACCTGGCGCACCAGGCTCGTGCTGACCTACTCCGGCACACTCCAGTTCCAGGGCTGGAACAACAGCTCCTCTGCGTGGGTAGTCTTTGGGCAGTGGCCACACTACGGATGCAACCGCTACGGCTACTGTGACGAGACGGTGTTGCCCGTCCCAATGTGCAAGTGCCTCGACGGTTTTGAGCCGACGATCACAGAGGAGTGGAACAAGGGCAAGTTCTCAAAGGGGTGTCGACGGAAAGAGGCACTGCATTGCGGCGATGGTTTCTTGGCCTTGCCGGGGATGAAGCCACCAGACAAGTTCGTGTTCGTCGGAGACACGTCGTTGGAGGAGTGTGCGGCGGTAATGCCGCCGCAACTGCTCATGCGTGGCGTACGCGTATGCCAACCTGAGCAGTGGCATGGCCAGCAGAGGTATGCCAAGGTGCTTGTTGTGGGTCGGTGAGTTGGTTGACACCGGGAAGTTACACGCAGACCCTGTGAGCGACACACTCTATCTGCGGCTTGCAGGCTTGGATGCAGTAGCTGGTACCACTTTATTACCTTGTATATACTTGTCTACACTAACTCTCTTTTTGTTTTAGATAGACAAGACACAGCGCAACTCGGGGACGCCCTTGGCTGTGTATAATACTTTGTTTTATGTGCGCTGCACATGTAAAAGGACAAGGAGCACTGCCGTGAAGATTTTACTGCCAGTTTTAGGAAGTAGTGTCCTGATACTCGTGTGCATTTCCCTTGCATGGTTGAAATCCAAAGGTGCGTTTAGTTTACATTCTTTACCTTCCCGAAACATTCAAGTTTGTCTATCTATTGTACCCCCATTCCATGAAAGCTTTATAAACCCAATGAAGATGCAAATCCATGCTGGTAATGCGGTGATGGTAATTCATCAATAGATAAGACATGGCTGAACCACATTGTTTCTCTTGATCCTGCGCTGGTTGGGTTCTATGAGTGACGACTTGAGTGTTCAACTAAGGGGCAAGTTCGGGGGGCTAATTGCATAGTACTATGTTATATTTACTGGAGAAGAAATGATCATGCCATTTTGTTTGAAGAAGGCAAGAACAGGACCCAGGGCACAAGAAGGCGCTATTGGATGGTTCAAGTGATCTTGAGTTCCCATTTGTAAGATTTGAGGAGATTGCCCTAGCAACACATAATTTCTCTGAAACATGTATGATTGGACGGGGAGGCTTTGGCAAAGTTTACAAGGTAATTATGCACTACATTGCTTTTATTCTAACTGATCTATTCACATGACAAACTCAAATCTACATTTTCCCTTAAAATCATACAGGGAACACTAGGCGATCAGGAAATTGCTGTCAAACGGCTAAATAAGGATTCTCAACAAGGAACAAATGAATTCAGAAATGAAGTAATACTTATTGCCAAACTTCAACATAGAAATTTGGTTCGACTTCTTGGATGTTGTGACGAGGGAGATGAAAAGTTGTTGATTTATGAGTATTTGTCTAATAGAAGCTTAGATGCCACCCTTTTCGTATATTCTAGCAATACACCAGTTTTTAAAACATGTCAAAATTTTGTTTTCTAACATTTGCTTTTGTCTAAAGATGATTCAAGGAAATTGTTGCTGGATTGGGGAACACGTTTAAATATAATCAAAGGTGTCGCCAGGGGGCTTCTTTATCTCCACCAAGATTCAAGGCCGACCATAATTCACAGAGATCTCAAAGCCGGAAATGTTTTGCTAGATGCACAGATGAAGCCCAAGATGGCAGATTTTGGTATGGCGAGGATCTTCGGTGATAACCAGGAAAACGCAAACACCCAACATGTCGTCGGAACATAGTGAGCAACTGTTTGAACCGATAGCTTCAATTGATCTGCAATTATATCCAAACCCCATTTCAAATAACTCTTGCAAGTCAAACAATCAAGCAGTGGCTACATGGCTCCCGAGTACGCAATGGAAGGCGTCATCTCTACCAAGTCCGACATCTATAGTTTTGGCGTGTTGCTATTGGAGATTGTAACCGGATGAAGAGAAGCTCCAGTAGTCACACCACGGGCTTTCCTAGCCTCCTAGCTTACGTACGTACAACATGTTTTCAAGCTCCCAACTCTCTAAAAAGTTGCCCGATATTTTTAAAAGAAAACAGTCATGTAACACAAAAGAGATGATGTTTTTGTTTGTTCCAGTCATGGAATATGTGGAAGGACGGGAAGGCAGAGGAGTTGGCCGACCCATCTAGCATAGACACATGCTTACCAGATGAGGTGTTGCTTTGCATTCATGTAGCCCTCTTGTGTGCCCAAGAAAACCCAAAAGACAGACCGCACATGTCATCAGTTGTGTTGGCGCTAGAGAATGGGAGCACCACACTGCCAGCTCCATACACTTATAATTTTTTTGGATATTTCAATGCGATGTATTTTTTGTTCTACTGAATGTGCTCGTGCGTTTGTGCGGTGGTGGTGAAAAAAGACAATTTTAGTTAGCAAAGAATATGTATGCACTCTTTTACTCAGAACATCAAACACAAAATACACCAAAAAATTACTTAGAGCGTGTTTGGAATCCCTTCACTCCGCCAACTCCACTCCGGAGCGGAGCTGCATGTAGTTATAATATAGGGAGTTGCTAACCTGGCGCGGATCCGCTCTGTCCTGGCCGAGCGGAGTGTTGCCGAACGGGGCCTTAATATAATTATAAGGCATTTTTTACATTATACTGTAGTAATTTAAATTTGTGTTTGCTTGGTGAATGGCGAAGCATGACCTTGTGCTGCTGCATTGGTGCATCCTCATTGTCGTTTCACCAATTCAAGCCAACGAAGCGGGATTACACGGCCCAACCACAAACCCCTTCCCCAACCCTCGAGGAGCGAGACACCTGAGAGGCCAAATGTCCTCGGAGCTAGAGGCTGAGTAGCCGTGGCTTGAGCAGCACGTCGACGATGTCGATGCCGCTGCGAAGAGGGCAAGTACCAGGTCCACGGCCCGCCGACACAGTACCTTCACCCGATACTGTGAAGGCATGCATAAATGTCAAACAGGGGAAATCTAAATAACTAAGATTTAGCTGAAATATGTATTGTATATTATTAGCAAAAGAGCCCAATGTGAGAAAAAAATAAATCACAATCTCCAACAGCCATGATCCGATTTTGCTGCATCACCGAGATACACTATCACTCACAATTTCATGAAATCATGAACATTTTTTAAACTATGAACATATTTGAAGTTGTGAACATTTTTCAAATTCATTAACACTTTTACAAATTTTCAAACATTTTCTAAAATCAAGAATATGTTTTGAATTCATAAACATTTTATACTATTTGCAATTTTTTTAACAATTTTCTTGAATCGGCGAATATTTCTAGAATGGACGAACACTGTTTGGAAATTGGTGGAACAGTTTTTGAAATTCATGAACACTTTTTTGATTTAACGAACGTTTTTTGAAATGCATGATCATTTCAGTGAGCAAACATTTTATGAATAAATAAACTATTTTGTAAGTCACGAACAGTTTTTTGAATTTTTAGGATATTTGCCCACTCATAAACATTTTCTGAATTGGCGGAACTTTGTTCAATTTCATTAACATTCTTAATACACAAACTTTTAAAAAAAATTATGATTTTTTTGTGTATGAATGTATTTTTATAATTTCGAATTTTTTTGAATAAGCAAACATTTTTGAATCCACAAACATTTTATGATTTTATTTGAAAAATCTTATTTTTTTAATTTTCCGAACATTTTTAAGTCGCATATTATTTAAAGTAGGAAAAATATGGAAAATAAAAAAAACAAATTTTAAAAAAATGCCACCCGGACATAGGCCGGCCCAAACGGGTGCGTTTTTTTATCACTTATAGGTGGAACATTGATGCGTAATATTTTCCAATTTTATAGGCAATTTCCATGACGTACCGGAAGAAGTAATAGCCCTTTATTATTAGGTATAGATTAAAGGACACTGATATATATCGCCTCGCAATTCCTTCGGTCGCTACCGGTTCCTTGCATCGCTGCTTTTTCACTTTTACACAAAATAATTTATCAAATGCTGGACTCGAACAACAAACTTCGGACTTCCAACCCGAGCACAAGAACTACCTGGGCTTTGAGGAAAACATGCGCTATTTTATATTTAACCATAACGTAGAACGTTAGACAAATTTTCCATGATAAATATCTAACCCCTTTAGAATTTGAATACAGCTTTGGAAGAAATATTTGCCCCACAGCTAATTCGGCCCAACTCAAATAAGAAACTAACCAAATTTGACACTTGTTCACTACGTATAAATAGTACTCCCTCTGTTTCTAAATATAAGTTTTTGTAGGGATTGCACTATGGACTACATACGAAGCAAAATGAGTGAACCTATACTCTAAAATGCATCTATATACATCTGTATGTGGTTCATAGTGAAATCTCTACAAAGACTTATATTTAGGAACAGAGGGAGTACATGAAAGATGAAACTTGATTTTTAGTTTTACGCAAAACTGGGCAAGTTATCAGGTCTGCGGTACGTAAAATACCGAGTTATTAACACCAAACTTAAAGTGGTATGATTTCAACAAAAAAAATATCCAGGGGTCAAAAGTTACCACGATGTTCGTATGTGAGTTATCAGCTCTGCGGTGTGTAATATACCATGCTATTTACATAGATATTATCCGGGAGGGGAGTGGGGGTATGATTTCAAAACCTTTTTCCCCTCTGGGTCAAAGTTACTAGGGTGTTTGCAAAAATATAAAGGTGAACATGTGCACAGACACCCACATGAATAGTAGATTCGAAAAAATACTAGAATTTTTTTTAAAAAATATATCTAAAATTCGAGGTATGAAACTTAATCGACCATTCTACTCATGTGTGAAGTTTCATGATGTATTGACACCCATGATATTCTTAGTGAAGAAAATACAATTGAGACCATACTATTCATCAAACAATTCATCAAACAGTGTTTTTTTAATATAGATTCGATTTTGTCATTTTGCCCAGATTACCATGAATTTGATTCTTTGTGAAACTTCATACGCGAGTATACCAGTTGACTATGTATATTACAAAAAAGATTCAGATTTTTTTGATTTCTTCTAGTTTTATTTTTAAATTTACCATTCATAAGGGGCGCGCGTGGAACCATGTTCACCGAATTCGCCTTCGGGTGTTTGTACCTAATTTAGCTGGTCTGTGATATGTAGTTACCATGCTAATTTCCCAGAACATATCGAAGGTATGTTCAATAACTTTTCTCAATTAGGTCAAAAGTTGCCATGTTATTTGTAGGTACTTTATGAGGTCCGTGGTGCATATATTACCATGTCGTTTGCACATAAGTTATTATGGGGATATATTTTCAACAACTTTTTTTTGGGGTCAAAAGTTACCATGGTGTTTACCATGCTATTTACATATATGTTACTGGGGATGTCTTCAACAACTTTTGTTCTCGAGGCAAAGTTACCATGATGTTTGTGCCTACTATAGCAGGTCTGTGGTACGTAAATTACCACACTGCTTACATAGAACTTATCGAATGTATGTTTCAACAACATCTTTTCACCAGGTCAAAAGCTATCATGGTGTTTGTACGTGATTTATCAGGTGTGCAGTGCATATGTTAACATGTTTGCAGAGAAGGAAGTTATCGAAGGTATGTTTTTAAAACTATTTTCTTTGTGTCAAAAGTTACCAGGGTGTTTATACGTGAGTTATCAGCTCTATGATCCGTAATTTACCATATGCTATTTTACACAGATGTCATCGCGGGTATGATTTCAACCACCCGATGCGCCAAACTCCACGGTGTTTTAAACCTAAGTTAGCAGGTCTGTGGTACATATGTTATCACACTACTTGTCAAAAAACTTATATAGGGGGATATTTCAACTACTTTTTTTCACTGGGTCAACAGTTATCATGATATTTGTACGTAAATTACCGGTGTGTGATATGTGTATTATCATACTATTTGCACAAAAATTACTGCCAGCATGTTTCAACAATAATAAAAAAACAGGTCAAAAAAGATATTGCGATGTTTGTATGTAAGTTATCAGATTTGTGATGTGTAAACTATCATGCTCTTTGGGTATATTTCAGAAAAAAGTTTTTTCTTCGGGTCACATATGAGATAACGACTGGAGTTCAAATTCTATAGGAATAAATGTTCTTTCCATAATGATGACTAATTTTTAGGGAAATAAATGTTCATATTCCTATAGAAATCTTCCTCTCGCGTCCAGTTTTTTTTCCTGAAGTTCATGGGCTAGGTTGTAATTTGCCTTTCGTTGGTGTCCTTTTGTAATTGTACGAATTACAAAAGCTTAACGAAATTGTTACAGGTCCTTACGGACCCGTTTCCTGTTTAAAAACCTAAATGATAACGATCAGATGTCATATTTCTAGCCATTCAATCCCTAGACACATCAGATCCCCCACAAGAATCCTAAAGCATGCGCTCCCACAAACGCCTCTAAGCGAACAGCGAGCTAACGACATTAAATGGACAATTTCTGTTTTTAGAGCATGGTAATTTTCACCTTTTTCCGTTGATATAACATGTCAATTCCCTTCAAGTAGCATGGCAATTTTCATCTTTTTCCTTTTTTAGGCTGTCAATTCTCTATGCTGCAATCATGGTAAATATGTGAAATTACATGATTACTCTGCTGCAGCATGACAATTTTCAGACATCTTTACAACATGACAATTTTTAGTGTAGAATATGACAAATCCTTATACAATAATATGAAAAATTTATCCGTTTCCGTATGACAATTCAAAAGCATTCGTTGGGAGTGATTTTTTTTAATAGCATGAATGACCTTCCTGCGACCTGAGTGAACGTCAGTGCGATATTCGGGTAAAAAGGAAACCCTGCCCGTATGAACTGAAGCGAAGTGGTGGAGCCGTCTGTGCGGTGAAATGATTTGAATCTGACCTTCACCGGTGGATGGATGCTATTCAGTCACAATCGGTGCCGTTGCTCTCTGGCACCAAAGAATTGGAGGCACCACCTCCGCACCGAACTTTGCTACCGCAGCGACGGGACGCCATGTCGACCACGGCTTCAAATTCCCGCTAGGCTCCGGTGGTGCCACTGCTGGTGAGGCATCAGTAACCCGGGAGCGCGCCAGTCGGTGTCCACGATCTCCAATGGAGAAGACCATCGTCCTGTACCCCGGCCTCGGCGTGGGCCACTTCAACCCCATGATGCAGCTCGCCGCCGCGCTCCTGGACCACGGCTACGCCGTCTCCGTCGCGCTCATCGGCCACGACTCCCTGGCCGCCGCCGTCCGCCGGGTCGCCTCCTCCATGCCGTCCGTCCGGATCCACGCGCTCCCGCCCGTCCAGGACCAGCCCGCCTTGGCGCTCGACGGGCCGTCGTCGCTCCTCCTCTCGTACCTCCGCCTCCTGGACCGCTACAACGGCCGGCTCCACGACCTGCTCTGCTCCGCCCGCCGCGCCCATGCCGTGATCTTCGACTCGCTATCGGTCGGAGCGCTGGGCGTCGCCGAGGAGCTCGGTATCCCCGCCTACGTCTTCTATACCTCCTGCGCGTCCACCCTCCTCGCCTCCATACAGCTTCACTCCGTCCTCGGTGATGGCGAGAGCCGTCGGAAAGGCTTTAGGGAGATAGGAGATAGCCCCGTCGAGTTCTTCGGCCTCCCGCCCGTGCCGGCTTCGCACCTGCTCGCCGAGCTGCTCGAGGACCCGGAGAGCGACGCGTACAAGGCGACGATGGCCGCCATGTACCGGATCCCGGAGGCCAGCGGCATCCTGGTGAACACTTTCGAGTCGCTGGAGGCTCGGGCTGTGGCGGCTCTCAGGGACCCTCGGTGTCTCCCCGGACGGGTCTTGCCTCCGGTGTACTGCGTCGGGCCTCTCATCGGGAGCACGGCCGACGGCGAGGCAACTTCACCGAGGCACGAGTGCCTTGCGTGGCTCGACGGGCAACCCGACCGCAGCGTCGTGTTCCTCTGCTCCGGGAGCATGACGAGCTGGGGACTCCAGTCGGAGGAGCAGCTCAGGGAGATCGCCGTCGGCCTGGACAACTCCGGCCACCGGTTCCTCTGGGTCGTGCGAGCCCCCGGCGGCGACGGCGTCCCAGATCTCAGCGCGCTCCTGCCGGACGGGTTCTTGGAGCGCACGGACGGTCGCGGCCTCGTCATCAAGCTGTGGGCGCCGCAGGTCGACGTGCTCCGCCACAGGGCCACCGGCGCGTTCGTGACGCACTGCGGGTGGAACTCGGCGCTGGAGGGCGTCACGGCCGGCGTGCCGATGCTTTGTTGGCCGATGTATGCGGAACAGAGGATGAATAAGCTCTTCATGGTTGAGGAGATGAGGGTCGCCGTGGAGATGGTGGGGTGGCAGCAGGGGCTCGTCAAAGCCGGCGAGGTGGAGGGCAAGGTAAGGATGATCATGGAGGCTGAGGAGGGCAGGGAACTAAGGGCGCGAGCGGCGGCGCAAAAGGAAAGCGCCGCTGTGGCGTGGAACGACGGCGGCTCGGGGCGCGCGGCGCTTGCCCAGTTCCTGGCGGAAGTGGACAGCCGACAGCCGCTGGCTCGCGACGGGGAAGCTATCGATGGTGAGCTTTGGCAACCAGTGTGACGCACGCTCTTGCGGATGCGGTTCCGGTGATCGACCACTTTAGCTGATTTCAGTCTGCTGATTTTTAGTTTTGTGGTCAGTTGATTTTCTGGCCGTTGAATTGTGCTTTAAGATTTGTGCAGTATTTTCTTTTTTTGCCACGCTTTTGCTGCTCGTACTAGGCATCTATTTGGGTCAGTCGATTTTCTTCTTGAGCTGTATTTTGGTGTGTGCATGCTTTTCTCCATGGGCTTGCTTTTGTTTTCTGCATGTGTAAGCTTTTATTTTTCTATTTTTCAGTTGATTGTTTTTCTTTACGTGTATTTCCGGATGTTGAGTGTGTGTAAATGTATACATATAAGTGCTACATGTACAAATTACATTATTGTATGGAAACTTCACTCTTATATATTTATTCTACATATTATAAAAAGTGCATTTTTGTGCTAATTGTTTTCATTTTCTTTATTCTTTTAAGGGTAATACCAATGCTAATTGTTTTGTGCTAATTTTTTGCTAATTAAATACATTTGTCTATTATTATGTGTATGCATGCACGAAAGTACTATACAATATGTGTGTAAATTCTACTAGACCCCTAAAGTTGCATTGTTATATCTGTATTCGCCACATATTATAAAAAGTGCAATTTCACTATAAAGTTGTGTGCAAGTTTTTCTTTATTTTTTTTATTCTTAAGAGTAATACCAATGTCACTAATTTACTCTCTCTTATAAAATTGTATTCGTTTTATTATATTTAGTAAGTATACACACAACTTTGATACACCATGTGTGTAAATTATAGTAGGGAGCAAAAATTGCACTGTATATGCTTATTTCTGCAAATTACAAAAGTGTGAATTCAGGGCATACTTGTGTGCAAGTTATTTTTTTATTTTCCTTCTTCTTAAAGGGTTTCATTTTTCCCTAGAAAACTTCATTACTTTGTTTTTGTTTTTATATTTTCTTTCTTCTTAAAGGGTTTTATTCTTACATAGAAAACTTCATTATTTGTTTTAGTTTTAGTTTTAGTATTTTTTTCTTTACTTAAAGGGTTTCATTCTTCCATAGAAAACTTCATTTTTTTTGTTTCAGTTTTTCTTTCCTTTCTTCTTAAACGGTTTCATTCTTCCATAGAAAACTTCATTATTTTGTTTTTGTTTTAGTTTTAGTTTTCTTTCTTCTTAAAGGGTTTCATTTTACCTTAGAAAACTTTTTTGTTTTTTATTTTCTTTTTTCCTAAAGGGTTTCAATCTTCCCTAGAAAATTTCACTATATAGTATTTGATTTTTATTTTTCTTTCTTCTTAAAGGGTTTTATTCTTCCCCAGATAAATCCATTTTTTTTATTTTAATTTTAAATTTTTCATTTTCTTTTCTAACGGTAATACCAATATCGTTCCACTATTATATGGTTATTCTTTTGTATTATAAAAAACGCTATTTTGTGTAAAATGTGTGCAATTGTTTTTTCATTTTTCATTATTTTCATCATGTTCTCTTAAGAGGTAATACAAACACCAATAATTCATTCATTTTTAGACAACTTCATTTTTTTCGTGTGTATGTATACACGGAAATACTAAAATATGCGTGTAAATAAAATTTTATCTGTAAATGGACTGCAATTTTTTCATTATTTATTTTAGCTTTGTTTTCATTTTCTTCCTTACAAAACTTATAGTTTGATTTTGTTTTATTTTTTATTTCATTTTCTTTCTTCTTTAAGGATAATACAATGCCACTAATTCATTCCCTGTTAAAAAACTTTTTTCGTTGCAAAATTCTACTATTATATGCTTATTCTTGCATATTATAAAAAGTACAATTTCTGTCATTATGTGTTTTATTTGTTTCATTTTCTTTGTTCTTAAAGGGTAATGCCAATGCCACTAATTCATTCTCCCTTTGAACACTACATTTTTTATTTAGTTTTATTTTATTTGCTTCTTCTTTAATGGTAGTAACAACTCCACAAATTCATTCCTTCTTATGGAACTTTCTTTTTGTGAAAATTCCACTATTATAAGCTTATTTTTGCCTATCATAAAAAGTCGCAATATGTGTTGTGTGCAAGTTTGTTCATTTTTTGTTTTAATGTGTCTGATTTTCTTCTTCTTAAAGGGTAATGCCAATGCGACTAGTTCATTCTACCTTAGAAAACTTTATATTTTGATTTTATTTTAGTTTTTATTTCATTTCTAGCCTTCTCAAAGGGTGATACCTATGCAACTAATTCATTCCCCCTTAGAAAACTTCATTTTTTCTATTTGGCTTAAGTTTTTATTTTATTGTCCTTCTTTAAGAGTAATACCGATGCAACCAAGTCATTCCCTCTTAGGAACCTTTTTTTGTGAATATTCCACTACTATACGTTTATTCTTGCATATTATAAAAGGTCGCAATTCATTAATAAAATGTGTGCAAATTTTTTCCATATTATTTTATCTTCATTTTCTTTCTCCTTAAAGGGTAATACTAATGTTACTAATTCATTATTCCTTAGAAATCTTCATATTTTGATTTAGTTTGATTTTTTTTTCATTTTCTTCTTCTTGAAGGACAATACAATTGATCTTAGTTCATTCCTCCTTTAAAAAAAATTCTTGCAGAACTACACTACCATATGCCTATTATTGCCTATTATTAAAAACACAATTTATTTGTAAATTATGTGCAATTTCTGTCATTATTTTGTTATTTTAGTTTTCATTTTATTTTCTTACCATTGCTTCTAATTTATTCCTATTTTGAAAGCCTATTTTGTTTTAGTTTTATTTTAGTACAATAGTATTGGACATTTTTTTTCGAGAGTACGCCAATAGAGTACCATATTTTTATAGAAGGGAGCAGAAAAATTTACAAGAATCTACGACGCATCGTCGTGAGTACACCGACTCCCACTCCTAAACACACAAACAATTACTCTCTCACAAATCTACTCAATCCTACCACTCCTATTCCCGCGAGCTTCCATAACCTGATCTCTTCTAGTATTTGCTGAGCTAGCCTCATGGGGGAACTCACTTGCTCAGCCCGGTTGAAAACTCTTGCATTTCGTTGTTTTCAAAGCAACCAGGCAGCGGCAATGACAAAAGTGTCGAACCCTCGTTTGTATGGCTGTCGGAAGTTGCTTCTTGTCCTCAACCACCACTCCTGAAAGGTGTCAAGGACCTGTGGGATCTCCACATTGACCTGCATGATAAGGAAACTTTGGTGCCAGACTTCCCTCGCGTAGACACATTGTGCCAAGATATGATCCACATTATCTTCTTCCTGCATGCATGTATAGCAAGCCGAAGGCGCATCCTATAGCCCATGTCGAGCCCTTCGGTCCGATGTCCAAATACGGTATTGCACAGCCAACCATGCAAAGATTTTGCACTTGAGAGTCGCCCAGCTTCGCCAGATGCATGTGGCTGTGCTCGATCTTACCAGCCCCTGGCATAGCCTCTCGTAAGTGGACCTGGCCGTGTAGGAGCCCGACGGTTCGCAAGGCCATTGAAAGGCATCCTCAGAATTGGCATCTCTCGGGGTGGTAGTAATGACATGCTGAAGGTGAATGAGTTGGATGTGAGCCATGAAGGTTAGATCGCCTCGGATGTCATTGATCCAAGCATTATCAGTCATTGCTTGCTGGATCGTCCTCTTATTTTTGATGCGCACATCAACTGCAGCAACGATCATGGGTGCTATATCCACAGCTGCAAAACCTTGGATCCATCGATCAGTCCAGAAGAGCACCTTGTCCCCTTTTCCTGCTGTTATATGGACAGTGCTATCAAACACAGCTCTTGCCTCCTCATCAATTTCATTTGTCAGTCCATGCCACGGCCTCTCAGCGTCAGTGCGGCGAAGCCACTCCCAGCGGACACGTAGGGCAAGTGCTTGAAGTTGTAAGTTTTTGACTCCAAGGCCTCCGAATTTCGTAGGCCTGCAGATGGTTTTCCAAGCAACCGGGCATTGTCCTCCGTTGGTTCTATCTTTTCCGGCCCAGAAAAAAGATCGCATCCAGGTATTGATTTCCTCAAACACCCACAGTGGTGGGTTTAGAACGAGCAGATGATGTATTGGTCTACTAGCAATGACACTCTTGACGAGGATTAGTCTGCCTGGTCTCTGGATAAGGCCTCGCTGCCATGCTGGGATGAATTGCTTAACCTAATCTAACAGCGGTTGCCAATCAGTCCTCGTAAGCTGGTTTATGGAGTGGTAATCCAAGATATTTGCATGGAAAACTTCCAGATTGACAGTTCAGGAAGCTTATCACCCTTTCCTTATCCTCTTGATCTCCTCGAATTAAAATGGCCGAAGTCTTCCTGTAATTGATTCTAAGTCCTAATGCTATCCCAAAGATATTTAGCGCCTCTCTCACACATGCCAGGTCAGGCACAGATGGCCGGATGAACAGGGCCACATCGTCGGCAAAGATTGAAAGCCTCTGTGTGTCTTTGATGCCCGAGAAGAAAGAGAGCACACCCGCCCTAGCTGCCTTCCCAATCACAGCTGTAAGAATGTCCATGGCTATAACAAAGAGTAGTGGCGAGCTAGGATCGCCCTGTTTCAGTCCTCGGCAGTGATAGAATCTTTTTCCCGGGCATCCATTGACAACCACCTTTGTGCTCGCAGATTGCAGCAAGATTTCCAGCCATCGAATGAATCTTGGACCAAATCCTTTGGCTCTCAGCACTTGGAAGAGGAAAGGCCAGGAGAGTGTGTCGAAAGCTTTCGAGATGTCCAACTTCAGAAACACACCTGGAGCTCTCCTAGCGTGAATTCTTCTTGCAACATTCTTAACCATTAGGAAGTTATCATGGAGCACTCTGCCCTTAATAAATGCAGATTGATTTGCACTGACCAAGGCTTTCATCTGTCTCCTGATTCTAGTTGTGAGCATCTTTGCAAACAGCTTTTCAAAGCTGTGTGTCAAACTAATGGGTCGGAAATCGCCCACCTCCTCAGCATCGCTTTTCTTCGGAATAAGCATAATGTATGCCCGGTTGAGTTTGGCAAAACCGGT